GTGACCTTTGCTCCCTGGAGGTCAAACGCCAGTGACCTCCAAACCGCTCTGTTTACCAATTGAAAACCCATACTCAGACAAGTGTTGCTGACTGTCTCCTATAAGAATTCGCGACCTAAAACAAGTTTTTTAGCAAAAAGAGCAGGAAACTGCACTTTGTGATTGGGTGAGTTGATTTCATATTTGATAATAGGTTCAGTTATCAACTCTCTCTGTTGTTTTCGTGCTGTCTGTTATAACTCACACACACACACACACTGTAATTTTGCCTTCAGGGTCTGAACACAAGCAGACACGGATTCCTAAGTCTGCTGACCCTGACACTGCTCACTGGACACAATGGAGACAGTTTGGTTTGGGGGTTTCCCCGCATTGTCCATCTCACTGTAATCCTTTCAGTCTCTCTTTTCATCAGAAAAGGAAACAATGTACGCTTTAATATTTCATAGATAAAAATGTCACTCTGTACTTTCACATTTCCAAACCCACAAACAAAATTTTCACATGTAACTCCTCTTAGAGATTACAAGCTACAGCCTATATTTCTGATCAGACTGGAACAAAATCCCACTGAAGATTCCTTCCTTAGCAACACCTTAGCAACGGCTTATATTCTAACTAGCACCAATCGGAACCGACCTGGAAACCACTTAAAATACCTTAGGTGTGTGAAATCAAGTCAGTTTTTTTTACAATACACATCCCAGACAGCAAACTGACATTGAACCAACGCGGAAACGACGTCTCTCGTGACATTGAAACAACGTTGATTTTGCTCATCGAATTAACGTTGAACCAACGTCAGACGCGGCATTCTTCAAAGCTAAATGAAAATTGAAAATTGGTTTGCTTTCATAACGTTGAAACAACGCGTTGATTTCAAGTTGATTTTCCGTTCGTTTTGAAAGAATGACGCGTCTGACGTTGGTTCAACGTTAATTCGATGAGCAAAACGATGTCAGATCAACGTTGTTTCGATGTCATATTTCCACGTTGATTCAATGTCAGTTTGCTATCTGGGATAGGTCCAGACTTACTAAACAGGCAAATAAAGTGCAATCCCATAAAAGCACTGAAGGGAGTAGAAAGTTCTGCATGTGATCTACTAATGACACGCAAATTAAAGCACACATGTGCAGCTAGTTTATTAGTGTTAAATTAGTGTCTAGTTTAAGACAAGCTATTTTGTGTGCCATATAATGGCCCTAATACCAGTACCAATACCAATTGACTAGCGCAAACCTTAGTAAATCACCTTGCATGATTGATTTTAAATACTCTCCTCCCATAAATTTGAAAAGGAAACTCCTACAAATGCAAAAAAATAACCTTGTTCGTGCCGTTTAAGCGCTAATTTTTCACTGTGTGTCTTTAGTAAATCCTGACAGTAGTTTTTTATTGGCAAAAGAAGGTTTGTGCTGGTGCTAGCTGGCCCGTTGTTTCAAAGCAGCTTTACAGGAGATCATGATGCCAATATTTATAACATCTTAATATCGTCATGCCAAATTTAGCACATTACAGCTGGGCGATAATTTCTTTGACATTTTGCAATAATACAAGCAATCAAGCATTTGAGGTTTTCTGTATCGTATAAGCCTGTATACGTGCAGTTGGAGATACTTATCCAATATACAGTTCACATTTTTGCAATGATATAAAAACAATCATGCAGCTGAGATTTGCTATAGTATATATTGCTTTATGTGAGTATACTGTTTTTATGCAGGTAAAGTATCTGTGGACCACACAGAACATCATAGCAACCGCCTAGCAACCACTTTTCAAAAAGTCAGGGCTCAATGAACATCACTTTTCAATGCTGTTTTCAGTCCAGGCTTTGTCTTGCCAATTTGGTCTTGACGAAGTTTCCTTTTTTAGGTCTTCCTGGTGGTGCATTTGTGTTTTTGTGCTTGTGTGCATGTGCTTATGTTTGCTTGGGCTTTCAGAGTAAATTACGAGCCGCTGACTGCACACTCCATGGTGCCACACAAACCATCCCGCACTGGGCCAGTTGGCACTGTTTGTGAATGCATGTGTACGTGTGTGTGCAGCCATGCATGTGTTTGCATGTTTGTGCATGTGCATATGTTTGGCGACGTGTGCATATGTGCGTATTATAGGAGTGTCAGACATTTTACACTTTTTTAAAGTTGCATTTTCTATTCTGGCCGTATTTAAATGCATCTAGTCCAATACGATACAATGGTTTATCCTAACTAACAGGGAACTTTAACTAATGTTCTGGCAAGGTTCTCTGGTTACACTTTATAAACAAAGTTCGGGAGGAGTCATCAAGTCAACTCGTCATCAAACTATTACAATGTCTACCCTATCAGCATTCATTAAACATACTTTAAAAATGTGGGCCCATATTAATAGGATAGCATCTTGCAGTTGATGGAGATTTGTGGGATGCACATGCAGGGCACGAAGCTGCCGTTCCACCACATCCCAAAGATCCTCTATTGGGTTGAGATCTGGTGACTGTGGGGCCATTTTAGTTCAAGAAACCAAGAAACCAATTTGAAATGATTCGAGCTTTGTGACATGGTGCATTATCCTGCTGGAAGTAGCCATCAGAGGATGGGTACATGGTGTCCATAAAGGGATGGACATGGTCAGAAACAATGCTCAGGTAGGCCGTGGCATTTAAACGATGCCCATTTGGCACTAAGGGGCCTAAAGTGTGCCAAGTAAACGTCTCCCACACCATTACACACCACCAGCCTGCACAGGGGTAACAAGGCATGATGGATCCATGTTCTCATTCTGTTTACGCCAAATTCTGACTCTACCATCTGAATGTCTCAACAGAAATCGAGACTCAACATTTTTCCAGTCTTCAACTGTCCAATTTTGGTGAGCTCTTGCAAATTGTAGCCTCTTTTTCCTATTTGTAGTGTAGATGAGTGGTACCCGGTGGGGTCTTCTGCTGTTGTAGTCCATCCGCCTCAAGGTTGTGTGTGTTGTGGCTTCACAAATGCTTTGCTGCATACCTCGGTTGTAACGAGTGGTTATTTGAGTCAAAGTTGCTCTTCTATCAGCTTGAATCAGTCGGCCCATTCTCCTCTGACCCAACAAGGCATTTTCGCATTGAAGCTACTAAACAAACATTTTTCCAGTAAAGTTAAAAGGACGTTCGTTCAAAGTTATCTGGTCTTTAAATATGCTCTCAAAATCATTCATGGAGCTTCATTTTAGTTGCACGCTTTGTAAACGTTACTAGATGCTCCAGGGAACATTCAAAAGTAACATTCCCAAAATTAGCAAATGAAACTGTTTATGTTCACACAACCAAGATGATACATTTGGTAAACATTTAAAAAAGAATGGACATTTTTCAACATTCAGACATTCAATAACGCTTTAACTTAATAGGGTCATTTGTAAACTGGGATGATTGGATTTTTGGAGGATGGCAAACACTGAGATTTCACTCCCCGCACACACGCCAACATCTTTGAGTCTTTAAGATGAAATATGGAGTCAGTATGAAGGAACGGGTTCAGGAATCAAGCTGCTGCCTGTTCAAATGAAGGGTGTGAAGACTGAACTCAACTTGCCTGTCTGTGTCTCCCAGAGAAGGAGGGGCGATGGTGGGAGAATGGAACGGACAGACAACGGCCCACAGATATTAATCGAAAATGCGCCGCAGGCCAAGAGAGGTAGCATGGGGCATGGGGAGGACGGAGGAGAAAAATGTGTTTGACTCATTGGCAAGATGAAAGTGAAGTTCAAATAAAGAGCCCGATTTAATCGGCTCGGGCAACTCGTCTTTCTCGGATCGCGAGACGGGCAGAGCGTGACGGACGGGCTTTGTGGAGGCGCGCATGACGAGAGGCTCGCCCCCATTGTGACTGACGCTCCGGGCCATGAAGGAACAGCCGAGGAGAACACTGGTCCCTATTGACCGAAATAGCCTTTAATAAACTCCCGTCGCCATTAAGTGTGACACTGCATCCCGATCAGTATTATTTAGGGATCTGAAGTGGTGTTAGCAGGGCATTGGTGGCAGTCAAATAACGTTCACCTTAATTAGTCACGCAGGGATAGACTGTTAGCTCATTAAATATCATAATAGAACAGCAAAACATCAGTCACTCCAGCTGTTGGCTTCAGCCAGAAGGCAAAAAATAGACTATTTGACACTATTTTTTCTCTTTGAACAGTAAATAGTACAGCTGCCCTGTCCTCTTAACTATCATGTGATGTCACATCTTAATAAGTCTGTTTTAATAAAAGTCAGAAGTTTGGAATGACATGAAGGGGAGTACTTTTCTTTCTTTTTTCTTCCAAATATGACCAAATATCATTTTTAGTATATACAATTATTTTTGTATTATTTTAACCCGCAAAATGAATCTATCATTGCAGCCACAATTTCCAGAGATATCCCATGTTTAACTCGTTCTGTGTTTTTTGTCTCCCGGTCTATTCATGCCTGTTGCCATAATATTTGTCAATTTTTTTAATTATTAGGATACACAAACTAACTCATTTTAATAAAAAGAAATTGTTGAATGAATTAGAAGATATATTACAAATCAATTCGCATTTCCAAATGTGTGCTTTTTTACCAATTGAATGTTTGGACTACTCAATGTTTATTATGAATATTTCCACATTTTAGAATGATAGTAAAGTCATCAATACTATGAAACATCACAAATACGTGTTCTTGTGTTACGCAGCACGTTTGAGCTTCAGCAAGAACCAATGAGGTTCATTCTCCTGTTACGCAGCACGTTTGAGCTTCCGCAAGAACCAATGAGGTTCATTCTCGTGTGCAATCACTTTATGAACTTTTTGAAGCGTCAAAGTGTCAGTTGTGTAGCTGTCAATGTAGTGACAGAAATCTCTCAAATCTCACCTAAAAGATCTTAATTTGTGTTCTGAAAAATGAATGTAAGTAAATGTAACTTAATATGGCTATAAAAAGTGTGTAGGATCCACTCACATCTGTCTGCTAGAATCCCCTCGATACTGTGTCCGCTCCTGCGGGCGATTTCTTCTTGCTCATGCTTTTCGATGTCCTCTTCATCCTCAACCTCCTCCTCGTCACCTCTCTCACCATATCTGCCTCTCATGATGCGGCTTAATGAACTCACTGATCAAGAGTTAAACAGAATGTATTATGACAATGATAATTGTTGTAAACATTTTTTTCTTTCTTTTCTTCATTTAATAAAAAAGTTGTGGAGTGTGTATTATGTTTTCTTTTAACATATTAAACTTTTTAACAATGTTCACAAACATTCAGTAGGCTAACCACAAAATTTAGACAACAAGTTAACCAGGGTGAGTAGGCTAATCCTGTTCGAGCGAACATTGATAAAAACATAAATAGGACCTATTGTCATTGTTTATGTCTCTATTTTTTTATTATAGGTTAGATTAAAGACATTTTAGAAAAAAACTTTTTGTGTAAGCCCTACTTTTTTTAGATAGCTTAACTGACAGGCAACCTGATATAGCCTAGCCGATCAGTCTTTTTTAAATCCCGTAAATGTCAGCAAGTAACATAATAAAATAATTCGCACACTTTCCTATGTTTATCCCATACCTGATGGTACGTTGTCCCGGTCACAAATTCCCTCTTTGAGCAGTTTATCCCGAATTTCCCAACTGAATATTCCGGGATTTTCCCGTTTATATTCCTCAACGCGCTTCTCCACATCTGGAGATGTAGTCTGTTAAAAATAATATAAAAATAAAAAACAGTCAACAATGTGCCTGGTTCAGTTCAAAGACTCTAGTTATGTCATAAAGTCAGCGCTTTCGGTCGACCAGTTGCTTTGAGTTTGCTCACAGAATCCCTGCGCGCCAGCTGTAATAGCCTAGATGAACCCGCACCTCAGGGCCTCACCTTGGATTTACTCCCGCCGATTGCTCCAGGCCGGATGGATCCAGTCTCCTGATACCGACACAGGATTTTGGAGACGCATCCGTGAGAGACTCTGAGCTGGCGGGATATCATGCACGGTCGGATCCCGTGATGGGCCATCTCTACTATCTTATGCCGAATGTGGTTCGGTAGAGGCCGGCCGTTGATGAAAACTCCTCCGAGCTGGTTGACTCGACCCTGACCCATCGGAGTTGAAACTGCATCGAAGCAAAAATTATGTAAGAAACGGTCATCGAAGTAGGCACAAACATGATAGAAAAATTTTATTCATGCAGTTTAGCTTATAGTTAAGGAAGAGCCGATGCATGTAGCCTTTGAGCGGTAACACTTTAGGCCTACTGTGTAATAATAATGAACGACTTGCAGACTACTTACTAAAGGGTTAATAATAGGGTTTCTTTGGGGTTAGTTGCATGTAAATTATTCATAATTTATAGTTTGGCTACTATGACTAGGTCTACATGTAACGTGTACAAGAAAGACCACTGTAAATGTTGCAAATTGGTCACAATCAAAATAGCATGGTTTTTCCATATTTTGAATTGAATTAGAATTGAGTTAAATAAAACAAAATAGAAATGTCAGTAAATATCCGAAAGAGTTCAATTGAAGCAAATAAGTTGTGTTAATGATGAAAACAATGAAAAATATTCATAGCCAGAACTGTACCTTATACTGTACAACTTTTGGTTATAGTATTTTATAGTGTCATTGTTACTCGTTAACCTTATAGTTAGCCTACTTAATATTAGCCTACTCTGTTAAATATAATTACCGTATAACAAATACTCCTTAAAATAAAGTGTAAACACTCAACTTTACGGTGTCTTTGTTACACTGTATTTTGTTAAGGAATAGTTGCATGTAATTATGCATAATTTATAGTTAGGCCTATTACTACAGTAGCTTGTAACAAGGACACTAAAATAAAGTCTTACCGATTTTTTGTTTTTGTTTTTTAGAGAACCAGAAATCAACACATTGGTCAGCAGAACCTAATGTAATAATCTAACATCAGCTATTGTTTCTAAATTTGCTCATCCAATAAATCACTGAAGAACATTTCTTTTTATTTCATATTATTTTTTTATAATTACATAATTCAATTTAGGCTTTTAATAGTATGTAATATGTTAAACGTTTACTGTCTAAAATAAAAACATTTAGAAAAATAACATCACCGTTTTCAGAACTTGCAACCCCAATTGCAAAGATAGTTTACATTTCACCTCAAATTTCTACTATTAGCCTATTTACAAATATTTGAATGTGCATTGTTTTAATGTAGGCTAATGCATTTTACCCTCCATTGGGAAGCCAGTGCGGGAATAGTTTTGAGAGAGAGATGGACGCATCATCCTGGGAACGGTCCCTGCCAACCCGTTCATTGTTGACTAAAAGTGCACTTCAGGCAAACCACCAGGGCTTAAAATGCATGTAAATATTCCACGATCAATAAAAAAAACTCCAGTGATCTTTTTGTATCCCTCAAGGAAAATAGAAAGTAGAGAATGGAATGAAAAGTTATCAATCAGATGCAGCCACTCCACGTGTACGGTCCTTCGTTTGTTTTCTCATTATGTGACGACAACTATAATCGCCGCGTTATTGTTATTAGCAGACGTTTGGGATGAGCGCGAGTTCTCAAACTACTGAGACATTCATTAGTTTGCAGAGACCTCCTTGTCCATTACTCGAACAGCGCATTCTGATTGGTCCACAGGATTCGGTAACCGGGAGCTGATTGGTCGAAGATGTGCACTTTTGCTTTATGAGCGTTCCAACGTGTAGGCTACAGAAGATATCCAAGGACTTCCTATGCAGTCTATGTCTAAACTCTACCGAAAAATATAAAAAAAACAGTAGACTTATATATCAATCAATATATAAAGTAACATGTTTATTATTATAGCCTAACGCATTTTAAAGACAGAAACTCAGACTGAAGTAATTTAAATGAACAAAGTTATTCACAGATGATTGACTGATTTAACTCTCTCAGTTCTCTCTGCACCCTCTCTCTCTCTCTCTCTCTCTCTCTCTCTCTCTCTCTCTCTCTCTCTCACACACACACACACACACACACACACACACACACACAGACACACACAGTGACTTCAATGACATGTGGCTCTTTTGTTGGACTAAAAGGAAACTTCAAATGTTTTCTTTCTGCCTGCGCGCGGGGACAATGGGGCGCACGCGGGAGGGAAACACGCGTGGGAAACGGGGGTCCTTTCACGTGCAAAACACTCGATTATTCTCTCTCATTTAAAAAGTTAAATCAACGCCAAATAGCCTGGACCCTGGAGACACCGACCCAACTCCTTAATGGAGAAGTTAACAATGAATGTGTGTGTGTGCGTGTTTGTTAATGAGTTTCTATTCGATGCATTAATCACTTTGATTATTGCTATTGCATTATTTTCCCAACACAGTCTAATGAAAGTGCGTAGTTATACCACGAATGTCATTTCTCGTGGCATTTTTACACCAAAAATGTTTTTGTTTTTTTTGCTTTTTTTTGCGTGCATACGCACTGAAAACCTCTTGGCGCAAAAAACTATTTTTTGGCGTAGGCTATAAATGGCAAGAGAAATGACATTCGTGCTATAGAACTTTCGGGCTCTATTTTCCTGTCAGATATTTTCATTTTATCACTACATATATTAGCTGTAAATCATCTTATATTTCTACATTTTCAGAGGCTGAATAGAAATGAAAGCTCTAAAAATGTCGAGAATCCAGAACATCTGATGTATCTGTGTCGTTGACTGACAATATGATAACCAAATGGATTAAGACGAGAATGTTTAAAACACAAATAACACAGAATATTGTGCATTTAATTTTTACTTTCATTTTTAAAAGTCTAATATGATGGGGAGAAGAAAAAACACTTTTTAAGAGTTTTCTTTCTAATAGGTCTATTGTCGGATTATTCAGTTTGAAAGCTCAAAAACAGAAGATGACTGGTTGTGAAGGAGAGCGAGGGGAACAGGCAGGGGAATGATGATGCATGTTTCGGTCTTTTGAAACACCGGATCCGCGTGTCGAATCCATTTTTGGAGAACAGATCTCGCGCAGAAGTGAGCTCTGATGAGAGCATAATTCGTTTTATTATCAAGGGTCAAATATCTATACTCTCTTAGCAAATAGTGTCAAAATAATTCGAATCGGTTTTCAAACAGGCCTATATGGATAATGGAAGACAAATAAATAAATAAATAAAGTTTTATGTGACGCCAGATCGCCCTACAACATAACCTGATGTTGAGCTGGTCGAAACTGGCAATAAATTTAGACTTGCCAGTTTTTTTTTTTTTTAGAGAATGAAAAAGGATAAACCTGTGAAAGAATGTTCACACATACCATTTGACCATATAATGCACTTCTTGAACAGTGAATGCCTATGCTGTCTTGTGATCTATCTTGTCCAGCCTGAGAAGGTCACCACCCTTTTAACCTCAATTAGATGAGCTTCCCTGAGAGAAAACGTAAATCCTCTCCAAAGACAACTTTAGAATAAAATCATCTGTCCTGCATTTACTGCCACAAGCATCCCGGAGCTCTTCTAACACAACCCTAAAAGGTTCTATCAGCGCTACATATTTGGAACCCCTAAAAGGTTAGAGTTCTTTGTAACCAGGAAAGAGGTTCTATATGGAACCTTTTGGGTTCATTCATTATCATTTGTTTTGTCCTTTCCGGATTAAATATTTCATATTATTGACAAACATCAAGACCCTAATTTTTTTTTTTTTATGAATGTTAGAAAATGTATATATTTATATAATTTTTATGTAGTTAATATCACACGAAGAGTGCCATTTCAGTTTTTCTCCTCCAAAAATCAGCATGATTAAAATGTGATATTAACTTACTACAAAAGTTTAATAAACAATAATTTAATTACAACAACAAAACGTTGCAGAATATTGAAATATATGATTAATATTCTATAAAGAACCTTTGTGCCAAAAGGGTTCTTTCTTGTCATTAAAGAACCTTTTTTTAGCATAAAGGTTCTTTGGAGTTTATGCTTCATATATAGAACCCCAATGAACCCTTTTTTTCTAAGAGTGAACGTCTACTGAGACACTTCGCCAGGTACTAAACATTATCATTCATTGCCATGTTATAAAATAATATTACAGGTCATCATCACTGTATGGTTAAATAAAGTGGTGATTAGAATTTTTACTGTACTGTACATTGCACAAAAATGCAGTCATTTCAGTTTGTAAAATAATATAAATTTCATGACAACAGACATTTTCAGCATTTTTCTCATTTATTAGCCAACCGAGAGGTGAGTTCTTGTATGTAAACAGAACATTTTCAATGTGCAAATACAATTCAAACAGGTTTCACAACAATTATTGAGGCTTAATAGTAAAAACACACATTTCCTAATCTATAATAAACATATAACGGAGTATATACGGGCTGTGTACAAAGCCCACGACCCTATAGTGTTACTAAGAGGGCTGGAGTGCATTAAGGGAAGTATAGTCGTCCCAGGCAGTAACACTGGGTTCAGGAAAGTGCCTTGAAGTCACTGGGACAGTGTGTGCGGGACGAAGGGACATATAGTGTTATGATGAGTGCACATCACATCATGGTCCAGTCACAGCGATAGCGGTTTACTATATGAGATTGAGGGGAGGGCATTCTCAATAGTACCGTCAATATCATTCTTTGCAGTTTGGTTATGATTTCTGTTCACACATGTTTCCTTTTCAGGCTCACATCTAATAAGCATCTGGGCCAGGACAGAGTACAGGAGCATCTTTCCTTATCCTCATCCCTGTTGAAAAGACCAGTATGGATTGAGTCATGGTCAGTATGGGATACTGGTGTGTCCCACAGGCTTCTTAACTTCTTAACCATGCCTCACAAAACTCTGCTTTTCCCAGATAGACCAGCCCTAATACGCAGTTTATCATCATCATCATCTTATTATTATTATTATTATAGTTTGGGATTGGTAAGATTTATTTTTGTTCACTAAGGCTACGATTATATAATCAAAAATACAGTAATATTGTGACTTTTTTTTTTTACAATTCACAATAACTGTTTTCTATTCGAATACATTTTAAAATGCAATTTATTTATGTGAACAAATCTGTTCACATCTTGATCAATTCAAGTCTTCAGTGTCACATGACCTACGTGAAATCCAATATGATGATTTGCAGGATTCCTTGATGAATATAATGTTTAAGAACAGCATTAAATATCTTTGTAACATGTCTTTACTGTCACATTTGATCAATTAAATGCATCCTTGCTGAATAAAAGTATTATTATAAAAGTAAAACGCACTGACCCCAAACTTTTGAACAGTGTGTGTGTGTGTTTAGTCTTGGATAAAAATAGGCAGTAAAATAAGTAAATCAAGGCCATTGTGTAAAGTATACATGACATATATTTTGCCCGACAGAATGGCAGGAGGAACTGTGAAGCTGGTGACTATTTAACACACATTGCACTGCACATTTCCTGTACAAGTGTTGGATTGAACGGCACAGTTTACAGCAGCTAAATGCTGTTTACTTCTTTAACACTCAGGAATATAACCTTTGCATGTCTACATCACTGCTGCAATGATTCATATACCCCCACATTCATTTTATAACCCTTACTTACAAAAAATGTAAGCAAAACCTCACATTACTGCACACAAATGACTGCGTCACTACACGTGTCCACCAGCAGAGGGCAGACCTGGTTTGATCCATCACATTTGCTTACAACGACAGCACAACTTTATCAAATATCAAAGAGTACGCTTCTATAAAATTCACTTCAATTCATCCTATTAAAATTACTTAAATAAATAAATCAATAAATAAAAAGTAAAGGCACATAAGAGCTAATGATTTACCCTACACTCATGTTTGTTGTTGTTCTTTTTTTGGAGCTTGATAGTTTCTTCATATTTCTCCGTTTGTTTTTCACAGATAAGGTGACAGGATTCAGGAATGACATGAGGGTGAGTAAATGATAGTACAATTTTTTTTTTGGGTGAAATATCTCCTTAAAGAGAATATGATTTGTTTTTCATTTGAAAGAGAATGGCCTTAAAGCTGCAGTCACATTAGCGAAATTTCGTGTAAAAAAAAATTGCAAAAAAATAAGATCTGTGTTTAACAAAAAGTTGTGACTTGATGACTTTTTGTAATCAAGATAATCTTTACAAGTTAATAAAAAAACACACACAAGCAGGCACAATAAAGTTTAAAAAACCACAAGCAGGTTTTAACTGGTGTGTTTTATGTCAGATCAAAATGAGGCTTTGTTCACCACAGACCTTATTTCAGGCGATTTAGCAAAAAACCCATTAAAATAAACATTCAGAGCGAAGGAACCAGGAGTGCTA